GCCGATCACGAGCACTCCGTGATTCACCTGCTGTGTGCATCGCGGGTCATCGTACACACCTGGAAAAAAAAGGAATTTGGAAGCATGTCATCAGACCACAAGACTTTGTCTCTGAGTCAAAGTCAACCTTCAGCATCGTCACTAATGCTGCTGTCTTAGGTTTTGCCACATTGATGCCTTCATCCAGGAATTAAGCCCCAATTTGCCAAATTCCACCAAATTTCATAAGTTTTATGTGCAGAAAGACACAGAAGACGTGAAGAAGGTCTTCAGGGCAAAAGGACATACCTGACCTGTACAAGAAGAAGGTGGGCTGGGTGGCATCAATGGCAACAGAGACCGGTCCGATATTGGCTACAGCATCTTTCAGGGCTGCTTCATCGGCGTATGGGAGCTCAATGTACTTGGAGCAAGTGGCGGCTCGTGTGGAAGCATTGTATTGACATGTCCCATTCTGGTAGGAACGAGGGGAAGTTGAGAAGAGGAGCATGAGGAATCCACATCTCAAGACTTTCAGGTACGTGTTTTCTATCAGCTCTCTTTGACTTTGACTTTGTGCTACCCCATTCTTCACCTTTCTTTGACCACCATTTTTCTATACACAGGACTACAGAAAAGATGGCTGGAAGGACCTGAAGAGACCATCTTGTGCATCTCACTTCCCCACACCAAGAGCAGCCAAACTGTTTCAACAGAATTCTCTGCCTTTTTTCTAGAAATCTCTGATGACAATACTTCCACCACTTCCCTAGAGAAACTGTTGTTGCTTCCTCATTCTTCCCATCTGAAGGCTCATGTTTAACCTAAATTTCTTTTATTGTACATTAAGCCCAGGACTTCTCATTCTCCCTCTGGACACAGAGAACAGCATCTTTTGTCTCTGTAGCTGCCTTATGCATATTTGAAGACTTGTATTCCACTTTTCTTTCTTGGAGTGAGCTGCTGTCACTTTGACCTGTTTCCATAGGCCATGTTTTCAAGACACCAGGTCATATCAGGGTATCTCTTGTCTCTAGCCATCAAGACTGTGAGCATCAGGATCTTTATTTTCTTATGGCTTTTTTTTTATGACCTTGCAGCAGTCATATAGCATCTGTTACAGGCAACTTTTAAAAAACCAATTGTATGAACACTGTTCACCGGAAACCTCTGCCCACTGAAATGGTAGAAATATCAATATCCCATTTTTGAGCTACAGAAGATGGAATAATACAGAGAGTTGAGAACAGAATCCAGGACTCCTGTCCCATTTTTCCCTTCCGTGTAGTACGTTGCCTCATAATTTATGTAGGACAGAAATAAACATGTAGAAATTCTGGCTCCTAGTCCAGTCATTCACCTATGAGAAAAAATAAAGACTAAATGTCCCTTCCCTGGGTCTGAAAGAATCAGCTGCAAAGGCTGAGATGACACGAGACTGGTAGAAACCAAGACAGAGGGAAATCAGTGGGAGAGGAGAAGGCTGTGCATGCAGGAGAGCAGAACGAATGGCCACGTTGCTTCCATGCTCATGTGTTTTTCTGCAGATTTCACATGCTGTCTAGGTCTGATGCCTACCTGAGCCGTATAGGGGTAGGATGCATCTGAGTCAATCCCTTGGTTGTCGATGATGTACTGGAAAGCACTGGTCATGAAACCTCCACTGCAGCCTTTGTTCCCATACATCATGGAGCAGTCAACAAGGTTCTGGGCACTGAGGGACACCAGCTTCCCTGTCTTCAGCTTCACCTGGGCTTCAAGGGCTCCCACAGCACTGAACGCCCAGCATGACCCGCAAGCACCCTGCAAAAGCCCCAGAGATGCTTAGATGCTGCCCCATGGGACCGAGACATGTGGAGGCACAAAGAGAGCTTCAAACCTGGTACTTCACGTCTGTGACGCATCCCTTCTCCCTCCAGTCCACCGCGTCAGGGACTTTGCTGCCAGGCTGCAGTCGGTACGTGGAGGTCACGTTTGGCCGAGGAGCAACGTTCAGCCCAGTTAACAAAGCCACCACTTCCTCGCTGGTCTGGTGGGAAAAGAAAACACTGACTCGTGATGTCCTTGTCTCTGCTAAGTCTTAAACTACATGCGTTGAAGGTGGAGGGGGGTTTCCCTTGAACAGTCTGAGCAGGAAGAGTTAGGTTTGTGGAGCCCTTGGCTTTTTATTTTTTACATTTAATTTCTAGCTGTTCATTGGAAAGGGCAAGAAAAAGAAAATACAAAGCTGAACTCCAGCACCAAAAATCCCTAGAAGCTGGTATGTTTCATTAAACAACACTACAACCTGGGGACATTGAAGAGGGATTATTTGAAAATATATATATAATGACCAGGATCAAGTCCACGCACCCCAAATGCTGCATTAAGGAGTTATTTCCTCACACCAGATTGCCTCATGCCGGTATGTTGAGCGCAAGAATTTCTGAGCAGTTTGTCCATGGCTGCTGGCATCCATGAGAAGAGGATGGGCTGAGGAGGGTCGCTGGGAGTTTCTCCAACCCTGACCCACTGATATTCCTTGTTAAATCAACTTCACAGGTAATTAGAGACAAAGACAAGCCTCTTCTCAGCAGCATGGCCAGCACCTACCATGTCTCCCAGGTGGTTCATGCCCAGCTCATAGGAGTGCAGCCCCAGGGAGTGCTCCAGATTGTGCAGTGTCACCAGCTGCAGGTTCCTCTCCCATGTTGCGCGTCGGTCCCCTTCCTCTTTCTGAAATCAAACACAGCCTCATGGTGTGTAGCAACAGCCCTCGCAGACATTTTGCCCCATTTTATCCCACCAAAGGTTGTCCGAAGCCCCTGCCAAACCACCCCCGAGAACCAATGGTGCTTTGAAGTGCTGTCAGCTCTTCTCCCCTCTGTGTGATGCAGCTGATGGTCATGCTGGAGCAGCACCCACCATGTCAGCACCCCGAGCCACCTCCACCTGCCTCAAGATGCCCCTACCTTGTGGCGGTACTCCTTGCCGTAGGTTTTCTTCCAGAGCTGCCAGTGCCAGTCCAGTGCGGGGTCGGGGTGCCCCAGTGCCACCGCAAGCGTGGCCAGGAAGGTGAGGGATGCCAGCAGCTTCATCCCGCTCAGCTGGGACCAGAGAGTCAGAGTGACACAGTGGCACACACGCCAGGAGCCAAGGGCTCAGAGCCGGAGCCGTGCTTGACCCCTTAGTGACAAATCCGGTTTGGTAAGGGAGGCAGAATGGTGATGACATCCCTGACCAGGACTCCCTGGCATGCCCTTCATGGGGTTTTTACACTGGGTGATGCCAACAGCTTCTGTCCTGCCTGCCCAGACAAGCACCCCGCGGCGGCGCTGCCTGCCCCGCTTGCCTGCTGTGTACCCCCAACCACGGTGAGATGGGAAGAGAAATCCTGTCCAGGACTCAGAAACTTCCCTCAGGGGGAGAAGTCCACTGGACCCAACCCCTTGCCTGTGCGGACACTGACATGCAGGGACACACACAGACACTCGCCTCATCTCATGGTTCCACCCTGCCCGAGAAACCCCCCCCAAAGGAGGTTTGCACATTGCCTGGTCAAGCAACTGTTTTGACAAACCTGTGTTTTCCCGCACCTTGAAAGGCAAAATAAAAAAAAAAATCCTATTTTTATCCAACTGATGTCCACCAGCTCCTGAGGATGGGCTACTATGTACAATTCAACTACCCAGAGAGAGCTTAGAGGAGATCAGAGACAGGATGGAGTCAGAGTCAACATAAAAATACTGTTCCTTCAGTTTTACTTCCTCAAAGCTCAGTCCTGCCAGAGCAGTGTTAAAATACAAAAGCACCCAACGTACCTGAAAAGGCTTCTTCTTGTGGTGGGTACCAATCTTCAGCTCCCCGGCAGTACAAGTGTTTGGGGTAAGGAAGATGCTGGGGACAAATCCAGTGCGTCCCCACTGCCAGGACACCCAGGACCTCTGGCACACAGCAGCTGCAACTCGTCAGACAAATCACGAGTCAGGAAGTGAGGAAGTGCTCTGATTTCATTTTCACTTAGCTGGGAACTGGGCTTGCTGTGCCACAGTCACGAGGTTATTTGAAGCCGGACCCTCAATACCATCAGAAAACGATCGCAGATGAGAAATTTTCCTTTTTCCAGCACCCCAAAAATTAATGGCAAGGCTCTCATGGTGGTTTATGTGGCTTATGGGGCTAGCGGGCAGGAGCAGGGGTCACACTCCTCTGATATGATTTTAGCATTTTTGTGACTTGGTGGTAAGAGACAGGATGAGGTCAAGTATGGAGCCTTGCTACTGGTTTGAACTGGGTAGACCTGAGCTCCCATCTCACTGCAGCAGTGTACCAACCAGACCAAAGCCAGCTCTTGGAAGAAAAATCACATTTATTCACTTTTCCGTGGGGCAGCACGGAGGAGAAGATGCAGTTTAAATACAATCATGGGATGGAGCTGATCTAACCAGCCTCAGCGCTGCATGGACAGCAGGAGACAAATTTAATGCACATTACATTGCAGGCAGGCTGAAAACGCAGTCAGCAAAGTCTCCAGCTGCCTGGAAATCACGGTCCAGCCTCTTCTCAGGGCATCCTCTGGGTTCCCACGAAGGACAACCAGGCAGGAGGGTGCATTTCTCACCACTACGAAGCACCATTGGACATAAAATGGCTGCAAAAAAACATCTTCTAAGAGAGGAGAAGGAAGCAAAACAGTGTCTAAAGAGCTTTGAAGATGCAGCTGAGTCATTTTCTAAAAAGCTGCTGGAGATTGCAAGAGTTAGCAATGACAATAGAGAGCCTTCCACCTAAATAATTGAAATAATTCCCAACAGATTATCCCTTATTAGTGGAAGAGTTCCTGGGCAGGGTGAGTGAGATGGTCATACTTGATGGGATGCTTGAACAAGCCAACTACAATCACTCCTAATTTCTGCTGCTTATCTGTAGAAATGCAATGGGATTCCTCAAGAAAGGAAGGCTGGAGTAAAGCCAGGCACACTTGAGATCAGCAGGCTGAGTGGCAGCATCTCAAGAGCTTGTCCCAAAAGCAGGGAACCCCTCTAGATCTTGGGGTAAATACCATAGCTGGCAACCCCGCAGTGGTTTCCATGGTTCCTCGCCATCCAGATATAGCCCTGGTCACCAAAATGCACACCCCAACTTTTGGAAGAAGAAAGAAGCAAAAATTAGACAACAGGAGGTAACTGCCTCCTTCCGTACCACCCCTCACCCTCACTTTTTTCTCTCCCCACTCCTTTTTAAAATTTTTTTTTTCAACTTATGCTTCCACCCCAGCAGCCACAGGAATAGCCAAATTTGCATCTTTTGGCCAAAAGGGCTGAACCTCCTGACTGCTTCCCTGCCAGAGTTGCTGCCACTAACTCTTCTGAGGAGGGGGGCAGAGGAAAAAAATCACTTAATTTCCTATATGCTGGAGTGAGTCAAAACCACCAGGGAAATACCAGATAAAGGTGTATGAATTGGTTTTGTATATTAAAAATGCCTTTTTTTTTTTTTTTTAAATCCTACCAAGGCCAGAGATGAGAGACAGAGGAGGAAACTGGTGGGTTTTAGCCCAGTTCTAACATGAGGATAAAGGAGCTTTGTTGACAGAACTGCCCACAGTTGGGGGTTTTTGTTGCTGTTTTTAAAAAAGATAATGGTTTTCAGTTGCTGAATGTAGATTTGCTGACATTACAGGTTTGTTTTTTTCCAGAGATACGTCTGTCCGAGCAGGACTGTTCCATTTCAACACTTTGTTTCTCCTTGTTCTGCGTTTTAAACAGCGAAAAACACCTTCACAAATACATTTTAATGCAAGGGGCAGCCAAGCTGCAATGATCTTTGAGGCTGTGCCTCCAAATTGGCTGAAGGAGGAGGTTTACCGGCATGTCCCCAAATCAAACTAGCTCAGTTTCTCTCTCCAAGAAACACCACCTCTTTGCACTGACTCAACACCCAGGAGCGTTGGAAACCCTGGAGTTTCCCACAGAGCAGAAATCCCATTTTTTGAGCCAGCACTGAGGAGTCAGGCAGGAGTGTTTTGGGTGACGTAAGTAATTTTGTGTTTACAGGGCTTAATCAAGGGCCCTTTACACCATGGTTGTGATGGAACTGAGCCCTAAACATACCTAAAAAAAGCTGACAGGCAATGAAAAGTGCTTTGCTGGCATGTCTTTGAAACCTTCAGGGTGCCCCTCGGAGTGGGGGCTGAAGGGAAAAGCTGCTCAGCAACTGGGTTTGCTGTACCTGTTTTTCACAAGCCAGTAGTCCTCCCCATCCAAAGGGCCGTAGCCGATGATGAGCATGGCGTGATTCACCACCTGAGAGCAGTTCAGGTCATGGTAGACACCTGGAAGACATTTGGAAACAGCCTTTGGACAACTTGCCCTAAGTCACTGCCCAAATAGGAATTAAATTCACTCTTTGGGAGGTGTTACCAATACCTGTCGCTAAGAATGAGGACAACACAAGCTAAATGCAAGTCAAAGCTGAAATAATTTATATTTAAGGAAGCAGCGTCATGGGAAGGAAAGTGCGGCCTTTTTTTGTGTTTCCCTGGAAGACCCACCAGATTTGTACAAGAAGAAGGTAGGCTGACTGGCATCAGTGCTGACAGAGATGGGCCCCACATTGGTGATGGCATCCTTCACCATGGCTTCATTGCCACGTGGTAGCTCGACGTACCTGGAACACGTGGCTGCCCATGCCGTCAGGTTGTAGTGGCACACACTGTCCTGGCAAAAGAAGGTAAGGGGGAAAATGCATCAGATCCTGCACAGAGTCCTGCTCTGCATTATGTGAGTCAGAACTGATGCTTGCGGCATTAAAGACAGTCAGCTCCATGGTTTTCCAAAGTCAATTTCCTCTGGAAGCAACAGGACTATTAATTCCTCCATTTTAAGCTAAGCCAACCTAAGCGTTGCTCAGGTCTGATGCCTACCTGAGCAGTATAGGGGTAGGACGCATCTGAGTCAATCCCTTGGTTGTCGATGATGTACTGGAAAGCTTTGGTTTTCCATCTGCCACTGCAGCCTTTGTTCCTGTAGCTCCTGGTGCAGTCAACGAGGTTCTGGGCACTCAGGGACACCAGCTTCCCTGTCTTCAGCTTCATCTGGGCTTCAAGGGCTCCCACAGCACTGAACGCCCAGTGCGACCCACAGGCGCCCTGCAAAAGCCCCAGAGATGCTCAGACCAAGCACGGGACCAAGATGTGTGGAGGCACAAAGAGAGCTTCAAACCTGGTACTTCACGTCCGTGACGCATCCCTTCTCCCTCCAGTCCACCGTGTCAGGGACTTTGCTGCCAGGCTGCAGTCGGTACATGGAGGTCTGGTTTGATTGAGGAGCAACATTCAGCCCAGTTAACAAAGCCACCACTTCCTCACTGGTCTGGTGGGAAGGAGCACAGAGGCATTCATGATGTGCTGAGGTTTACTTTGCACGACAGGAGAGCGGATCCATCCATGCATCCCACCCCACTGAAAGGACCAGGTTTGTCCTTGCAGCCTCGGGGGACTGATGTGTGCTGTTACAGCATCACCAACACGGCATATTTCATCCACCTTGACCAAATGCACGACTCCATGCTTGAGCCCCACGGCACAGCCAGCACCTACCACATCTCCCAGGTGGTTCATGCCCAGCTCGTAGGAGTGCAGCCCCAGGGAGTGCTCCAGATTGTGCAGTGTCACCAGCTGCAGGTTCCTCTCCCATGTTGCACGTCGGTCCCCTTCCTCTTTCTGAAATCAAACGCAGCCTTGTGGTGTGTAGCAACAGCCCTCGCAGACATTTCGCCCCATTTTATCCCACCAAAGGTTGTCCAGAGTCCCTGCCAAACCACCCCTGAGAACCAATGGTGCTTTGAAGTGCTGTTGGCTCTTCTCCCCTCTGTGTGATGCAGCTGATGGTCACGCTGGAGCAGCACCCACCATGTCAGCACCCCGAGCCACCTCCACCTGCCTCAAGATGCCCCTACCTCGTGGCTCTTTGTTGTGGTTTAACCCCAGCCAGCAACTAAGCACCACGCAGCCGCTCACTCACTCCCCCCCATCCAGTGGGATGGGGGAGAAAATCAGGAAAAAAAGAAGTAAAACCTGCGGGTTGAGAGAAGTACGGTTTAATAGAACAGAAAAGAAGAAACTAATAATGATAATACTAATAAAATGACAACAGTAGTAATAAAAGGATTGGAATGTACAAATGATGTGCAGGGCAATTGCTCACCACCTGCCGACCAACACCCAGCTAGTCCCAGTTAGCGGCGATTCCCTGCCCCCACTTCCCAGTTCCTATACTAGATGGGACGTCACATGGTATGGAATACACCAGTTGGCCAGTTTGGGTCAGGTGCCCTGGTAGTGTCCTGTGCCAACTTCTTGTGCCCCTCCAGCTTTCTCGCTGGCTGGGCATGAGAAGCTGAAAAACCCTTGACTTTAGTCTAAACACTACTTAGCAACAACGGAAAACATCAGTGTGTTATCAACATTCTTTGCATACTGAACTCAAAACATAGCACTGTACCAGCTATTAGGAAAACAGTTAACTCTATCCCAGCTGAAACCAGGACAACTCTTCCAGAGCTGCCAGTGCCAGTCCAGTGCGGGGTCGGGGTGCCCCAGTGCCACTGCAAGCACGGCCAGGAAGGTGAGGGACACCAGCAGCTTCATCCTGCTCAGCTGGGACCAGAGAGGCAGTACCAGTCCCCAACCTGGGCATTTTACTTCCTCACTGATTCCTAAACCCACCCCCATTCCCTTTGTGCCTTTTTCCTTGACTAGTAGCTCTCTCTAGTCACACGGTGATGCTCTGCAGCCCCAGTGCAACCATGACACAGAGCCATACCCCTCCCATACGCTCACCTGCAGTGCCACTCTGACCCCACCAAGAAAGACTCTTCTAAGGAAGCTTCACATGTCCCCAAGTATTTCCCCTGCCTACTTTCCATCTCCATCACTGCAGCAGCCCTCGAAGAAAAGTAGCAGTCGAGGGGGACACACTGAGGAGGTAGAGAGGAACTCTGTCCACCAGGTGGGTGCAAAGGGACCACGTTCTCCAGCCAAAAGTCACCCCAGGGAGATGTCTCACCTGCCTGCCCGGCCACGGTGCAGCTTCCCATGGAGCTTGGCTCAGCCTCAGGATGGGTGCAAGGGACCTGGGACAGCACAAGTGTGAGAGGAGGTCCCTCCCCTTACTGCAGCTGGGAGCTGGTGAATGAGGAAATGCTGATTTCACTTTTTTTTCACAGCATCATTCTGGTTTCACACAATCCTGATGGTGCATCGTGGCAGGCCCTGATGAGTTAACCAGCACTCCTCGTCCTCTCCATCAGCCAGCCAGGCCATTCACCTCCCATGTCTTGGTGCATGGGAGTGAGTGGGAAAAAGAAACATGTTTTTAAGCATCTAAACTTTTTTTTTGGATGAATTTTTAAGCCTTCCTTTCCTGTTATGGCTTGCCTTGAGCTTTGCTGCTGTCATTTTTCAATTTGTTTCTTTAAAAGGAACACTTGGATTTGGTTTTTTGGAGAGACATGGGGTTTTGGCTGCAAAACACCACCCAGCCCTGGCACAACCGTTTGCCCCAAAGCCACAGCACTGCAGCCCACACCAGTTGTTTATTTATTGCCCTGCTTTCTTCCTCCTCAACCCCCCCATATTTCTTCAACCAGTTTCAGGGGTCCTGCAAAACCAGCTGGGATTTTGGAAAAAGACCCCAGCAGCATCTTTTCTTCCTGCTTTGCTCTAGAGTCAGAGGTGTTTTGCAATCTGGTCCTGCCCTCTTAGGAAAGGGAAGGACTTTTCCACAACTGCAGCCCCATCCCGCCACAGGGTCAGGACAACACAGAACAAGCCAGCCCCAGCATTTATTCCCAACAGTGTTTATTTTAAAAATAAAGTCGTATCATTCTCTGCAGCCCCCACTAGGATGCAATATGGAGGGAAACAGATCCGCACTCTCCATGGGGGTATTCCACCCGCGTGGAATTTCCCCACGTGTCTACATTGCTGGAGGCAGAGGCCGGCGCCAGACCTGTTTGCACAAGCATCTCTGGATGAATCAGACTCTCTGGAGCTGGCCAAGCCCAGCCCAAGTGTCTGCGGCTGCGAGAAGGCAGAACTCGGCACACACAGTGCCCGCACAGCAAAGGAGTCCCAGGAAGAGAGCTGAGGAGAGCTCATTGCACTGTTCACCTGCAGCCGGGGGGTCTCACCCCTCTCCTGAGGGAGATTTCTCATGGAGAGGCAGAGATCCCCCCTGGAGTGACATCAGCTTCAGAGACTGGGAGTGAAAAGGCCAAGTTTGAACACAGGGAAGCAGGGAAGGCGGCTGGATGCGGCACAGGAAGGGAATGTGCTGGGAGCGCTCACATCTTGGGGAAGCTGGCAAGGTTGGCAATGCCGCAGGCGTTGTTCATGTTGCGTGCCAGGAGGACATAGCCCTTGTTGCCCCACTCCTCACCCCAGCTGTGGGGAGAAAAGGAAGAGCCTGAGCCACTGACAGAGCCACCAGGAAACCTTGACCCGGTGAAAAGCTGCCCTGCCATCCTGCCGTACCTGTTCTTGATGATCCAGTGCTTGGTGCCCTTCTGTGTGCCATAGCCCACCGCCAGCACTGCATGGTTGATGTTTTCGGCATTGCAGCTCTCATCGTAGTACACACCTGGGGGACAGGACAGACGGTTATGCTCTGGATAAACCACTTGACTGTGCCTCAGTTTCCCCAAGCTGCCCTGTGGCCAGTGGGCACCAGATGGGGTTTCCCTCCCCCAGCCCCTCACCGCGGCTGTAGAACTGGAAGGAGGGCAGGCTGGCATCGATGCCCACAGAGATGGGTCCAATTCTGGCCACGGCCCTCTTCAAAGCCTTCTCGTTCCCTTCAGGGATTTCCCGGTAGCCACGGCACTTGGCTGCCTTCCCAGTGGGGCTATACATGCAGCTCTCATCCTGCATGGGACCAGCAAGGTCAAGGTGAGATGGGGATGGAAGAGCAGTCGGGGGGGGGGAGCAGATGGAGATCTTACCCCCCTCCCAGCCCCAGACCTGGCCGATGTAAGGGTAGGCATCCTCCGAGTCGATGCCGTGGTTCTGCCGGACGTACTCAAAGGCATTGGTCATGTAGCCGCCACCACAACCGTCGTTGTTGGCCACGCAATCCACCAGGTTTTGGGGGCTGAGGGAGAGCAGCTTCCCCGTCTTCCGCTTCAGCTGCCCCTCCAGCGCACCCACTGAGCTGAAAGCCCAGCACGAGCCGCACTGGCCCTATGGGGACATGATGGTTGACACCGGGGTGCCAACCCACTCCGGGCACCCCCAGGAGCACCCTGCTTACCTGGTTCTTGACAGGTGTCACGTAGCCTTTCCTCCTCCAGTCCACGGAAGCCGGGGCTCTCTCGGTCCAGTCAGGGACGTAGAGTGTCTTGTTGCGATGTGGGTGGCCACGGGGCACCTTCAAGCCTGTCATCGTCCTCACCACCTCCTCGCTGGTCTGGGAAAGGAGCCCAGGGTGGGTGGGTGCAGCCCTGGGGCTGCTGGGCAGAGCAGCACCCAAGGGTACTCAGTCCCCTCTCAACCAGCCCGTTACCATCCCCCCCTGTGACACTCACCATGTCGCCCAGGTGGTTCATGGCCAGCTCGAAGGTGTGGACGCCCAGCGCATGCTCCAGGTTATGGGTGTTGATATACTTGAGGTTCTTCTCCCAGATCAGCCTCCGCGCCACCTCATCCGCCTGCACCATAGGATGAGATGGCACTAGGAAGAGGGGTCCTGCCCATGTCGACCACCACCGTGGGGACACCAGCCCCAGCCCCATGGGGACATCACCTGGGTGGTCCCCAGCTCCCTCCCAGCAATCCCCCAGGGGCTGGTCCCCTCCCACAGGGCTCTGCCGTACCTCACCGTTGTACTGCTTGCGATAGGTTTTCTTCCATAGGTCCCACTGGGTGTCCAGCTCTCGCTCAGGGTGCAACTGGGCCACCACTGCGGGGACCAGCAGGGACAGCAGTGTGGGCCACCACATCCTGGGGAGCAGGGACAAAGACTGAGCCTGGGAGGGCTGGATGGGGGATGGGCTCCTGTGCCTGCAACCATGTTGTGCTATAGGGGACTGGGACCCCGTACCCACCCCAGTGCTGGCCTATAGGGGCCAGAACCCCATATCCATCCCATTTCTAGGCCATAGGGGACCCTGTGCCCGCCCCATTATTGAGCCATGAGGGACTGGGACCCCACACCCACCCTGGCAGAGACCAGAACCCCGTACCCACCCCATGGGAACCAGCACCCCCCACCAACCCTGCTTTTGGGCTAGGACCCCCTGCCCACCCTGTTTTGGGGCCAGGACCCCAGGGCGGGCAGTGCTGGCCAGCACAGGCATCACATGAGCTGGACAGCTGGTTCCCATTACTGCACCACTGCCGCCTTTCCAACAGCCCCAAGCCACGGGGAAACTGAATTTTGGGGGCACATAGAGCAGGGGGTGCAGGTGGGGGGGGACGGACCCAGGCATCCCACCCCTCCCTTGCTTCACCCGCTTGCCCCCAGCATCCGCTTTCTCTCCAGACCCCTGGGGCAGAGCAGGAATGGGGCCACCAGCCCAACCCTGCAGCCTACAGCTCCGCTCGATGCTCTGTGCCTCGGTTTCCCCTTTTGCACCTCTAACACTAAGGGTCCTAATGCTGCCACACAGGACCCTATTTCACCTTCTGCTCCCACTGGGGTCCATTTCCCCAGGGAAAAAGCCACCTGACTGCCCCAGCAACACCTCATTGGGTCTCCCACCCACCCACGGGACCCTCTCCCAGGCCACTTACCCCAGCATCGTGCTGTCAGTGGGAGGACGGTGCAGCCTGGGACCAGGGGATGCGGGTGCCGCGTCTGCAGCTCTTTTATGGCGCTGGATTGAGGAAGTTAAGAGGCAGCTGGAAAATTTTGGCAGTCGCCTGGGTTCGTACAGGGTTGGAGAGAAAAAGGAGACAGGGAGGGGGGATGCAGCAGCGGCTCCCTCCCGGCTTCACGTGATGTTGTGGGGCAGAGCTGAGTCAGCCCTGGCTCAGGGGCCAGCAGATCTGGATCCTGCCCCGGGGACATCCTCCTGCCCCAGGGATGTCCTCTTGCCCCAGCACCCCACCCTAGGGACATCTTCCTTGTCCCAGAGTTGTGCCCCAGGGTCACCTTCCTGCCCCATGATAGAGGAGCTGTTTGTGCACCCCCGATCCTCCCCAGCACCCCAGGGAGGGCTGAGCACCCACTTGCTTCAAGAGAGGCAGGATTAGACCATCCCCAGTGCCTCAGGTTCATTGTGTGACATCTAGAGCAGAGGACAGGACATCCTCTCTGCCCCCAATGTCCCCCACCCAGGACTGCTTCCCCTGCCACCCCCTGTGCCCAGTTCTGGGGGGCACAGGTACAGCCCAGGGAGACCAGGCTTATCCCTGACCCCAGGCAGCAACACCACAGGGAAGCGGCATCAGACGGTGCTTTCTGCAGTGACCGGCCCCTCGTCACACGGCTCCTGCCACGAGTCAGAAAGCCTTGTTCACTGCCTGGAAGGTCCCAGTATAACCCAGTGGCATTAGTCCCTTTTCCCAGGCAGACCATGCTGGGGAGATCATCATCCAGCCGTGGGTATGAGGATGGGCTGCCCCAGGGAGCAAGGGGCAGAGTTAAGGGGATGGGAGCAGCCCCAAGGCACAGATCAGGCTAGAGCCACCTCTAAAACTACACCCATGTCACCCCATCACTGCAGGGGTCCCCGGGGTAAGGGACCCACACATAAGCTCACCCTCCCTGCCTGCTGAGAAAGGGGGTGGCTGAGTCAGCCCGGGGCTCTGGCACAGACTCATTGCCCTGAGCACGGGGCCCTGACTCGGCCGCGCATGACCAAGCTGCAAGGCCACCCACACAGGGACCAAACCATGGGGAGCCAAGTATTTTAGGGGGTCACACACCTTAGGGATAGGGCCAGAGAGAGATCAGAGGCGGGGGGAGATGAGGCTGGATTAGGGGTACCAGGCTGTATCCCCTCTCCAGCTGCAGGGCTTGGGGAGAACATGATGATCCACAAACCCAGAGATCACAAGGGCTTGCTAACACACTCCAGACCACGACTGCAAGTGATTAAGAGGGGGAAAGAAGAGAGGGAGCTTGGGGGAAAGGCAGCACCCAGGGGTCCATCCCCCCTCTGCTGCCCCAGCACTGCTGCAAGGGCACAGATAGGGATTCAGGGCAACACTGTTGTGACCAGAGCCACAGTACAGGGGAGGCAGAAATGAGACAGAGCTTTGAAAAAGGGAAAATATCTTGTTGTAAAATCTCTGCTACATATAATCATCTGCAACAAGAGGGAGCCCTGGGCCCAAAACAAGGCCCCCACCCCCCACCCCAAGCGATTGTACAATAAAATACACCCCACCCCCATTGAAAAATAATACAATTATCAATTATCAAAAGGGGATGTGAAGGGGACTAGCCACTGCCCCACGGCTCTGCAAGGACACCAAGTGCCATCCCCTCCAACAGCCCACGGGACAAGCCTGGGGACCCTGCAGTGGGGGGGGTGGCAGATGCCGAGACCCTGCCAGCCCCTCACCAGTCCTTGTCCTCTGCTGCTGCCAGCACCAAAGCCAGGCCAGCGTTTCCCAACAGGTTTGGCATTTGCTGGCTGCTCCAGCTGGTTTCTTTTCCTCAGCAGCTTGACTTGTCCATGGCAGGACCTGAAATCAAAGGGCTACAGCAGCATCACCCACGATGGCTCAGGGAGAGATGGGCTCTCAGCCGGGGAACACACAGACCTGGAAGGCATTGCTTTTTGTCCATGGAGTCCCTGGGTCCTGCTGTGCTCGGGGTAGGGGTGGGGGTTCAAAGCACCACAGGCAAATCCAGCTCCCACTGCTGCCCTGGGACAAAGCTCAACAGCTGAAGGACATCACTCCAGAAAGCATCAGAGCTGTAGCTTCACAAAGGTCAAGTTCCCCAGGGCTTGATTTCTATAAAAAAACCGGGACTTTTCCTCCTCCTTGGGCAGTTGAGCGCTGCTCCATCCTCCATCAGATCAGGACAGCACAGCTCTGACGCTGGACGACAGGGTGCAGCTCAGTGCTGGTCCTTCACATGCCCCCTTCACCCTGTGAGCAGGTGGTGCGAGCCTGAGTATGAACTCCTGGGATGGTCAACACCTTGCTACTTTACAAAATAGATCTCTAAGCCTGAGAAAACTCCACAGCCTGGCAAGGGGGACAGCATGGGATATAATGGGCTGCTGCAGATGAAGAGGGGCCCATCGTGGTTATTGCTGGTAACATTTTCCCTGGGTAAAAGGACAGGGGTGGATCACAGGATGTTTCCAAAGTCCCTAATGGGAGGTTCCCACCTTTCCACAGATAAATTTGAAAGTGGTGTTTGAAGTGAGGAAAAAAAAAAACTTCCAATCTTAATTTTCCAACAAAGGCAGGAGAGAAAAAAAGCCTGAAAGCTTTCTGCTCCACTACCAAGAGAAACATCTCTGGGTCTCTGCAAGCACTGAAACCTGACAGTCAGTAACACAAATGTTTGAAGGCCTTCCCTACATGGATGTTATCTGCTAGGTACGTCTCCAAAACCTGCTCTTTGGAGAGTCTTCCCCACCATTGCAGCACCAAGACCTGCGACTCCAAACACATCCCTGCCTTGCCCCACACCAGCAAAGAGGACATTCACGGCCAGCCTGGGGGTCTTGAGCAGCCCCACCAAGACACAAGGAGGAGGGAGAAATGCCCATATTTCATCCAAAACAAAGCCAGGCTTCCAGGAAAGCTTCATATTCTTCCCCCGTTGCAGTTGTGCCAAGTTTCCTTCCAAGTCAAACTCTGCAATGAACAAATTTTCCTGTTGAAATTGAAGCAAGGCTTGCCATCACAGGGGGAATCAAACTGTTCTTCCAGCCCCCACACACTCTGAGGAGAGCAAGATTTGCTACAAGTTTTTTCCACTGAAGCAGCCAGAAGATTCAAAGTCAAGGTTTAAAATTAAAAAACAAACAAACAAACAAAAAACCCCCCAAAATTTCTGTCCCCCATCTTCCCCTGCCCTCCTCCATTTTGTGATTTGGCAACAGGTTCATCATATGGCATGAATTTTTCTTTAAGGAGATGGTGAGTATAAAAGCAAATACTGCCATTCAGAGCATGTAGTGAAAACGCAACTCCTCAGCAAGGCCCTGAACAAATCCAGGGCCTCTCTGTGCAGGGAACCAGATCTCCAGGTCCAAAACGAAGGCAAGGAACTCAATCTAGACATGGTAAAATTGCATGGACAGCGCAGAGCAGTTGTTTTCCCCCCCAAAAGCTGACAAAAAGCCTGTTGAAACATTGGTTCATGGCAGCACAGAAACCATCAGCTGCAAAACTGATGCATCGAGAACAAAGCTACATAGGTAATATTTTTATGGCTCGTAACTATTGTGTCATTCACATGAATGACTGGGCCCCGAGGGAGTTTACAGGTCACACTGACTACAGAGGCCCATATTCATTGCACAGTTCACAGAAGAGAGACGGCATCCAAACAAACACCAACGTGCCTGCCAACATGGGAATCTCTAAATAAAGCACCCCAGACTGGAGATGCAGTTAACCCTCCAAAGATGGCCGAGCTTCCTCCAATAAGAAAGCCAGCTTACGACAAGGATTCTTGGGCAAGCATCCTCCAGAATTGCGTTATACAGGGTTAACGCTTGGAAGAGTTTCTTCCAATATTTAAAAAGTTACAATACTTTGTGTTTATAGAAAAAGAGTCATGGTATAGAAGATTGAAATAAAAACAGTAAAAGCCACCTTATGAGTTTGGAGGGGCTGTCTGTAATCCAGGCAGGAATCCCTCCAACCAACCCAGCGTGCAGAACGAAAACCACTCGCAAGCGGCTCTGGAAACACGGGGCCTTCGGTCAATGAGTGAGGCTGCTCTCGCAGCACTCAAGTCCTGAAGCCTCCGGGTGAAGTGTCCCCCACTGCCAGCACCACACAGAGGAGGTGCCCAAAATCACAACATCTTCCTCCTGCATGGCCACCCATCCTCCAGGCTGTCGGGCAGAGTTTCACCTCCAGAAGGTAGGAAGTGTTTAGAAAGTTCAGCAGTCTTTGAAAAAAAGACTTAGGTGTTTTCCTTTACACATGGGTATTATATATAGCTATAATTTGCTTCCCCCAGGGCTTATTTTATTCTGAAAAAGAAGGGAATATATTCAACTCTGGGAACTCTTCGTTGTTGTAGTTGGGTCCTTGGTCTCCCAGCATTGTCAACATATCCTGTGAGGATACAAGGAGAGAGTTATTATTTGCACTAGAATATCACATCGGTAATTCAGTCACAGAGGAGTTTGCCAGAGTAGGTACTGCACACCAAGATGGTCCCTTCCCTCCCAAGGGCATATAAAGGGTTTGTGTCCGAGGCTGCAGGAAAGCAGCAAATCGAAGTCCTAAGCAGTGACTGCACTGACTCCTTTGAAAGCAGGGGGCAGCAAGTTGCAAGAATATGAACTCTCAAGGAATTCTCTTCACTTTATTGGATTGGGAGGCAGGGGCGGAGGTGTTTGGCTTTTTTGTTATTGGTTTTAATTAGAGCTAGAAGGGTTAATTCAACTGCGGAGCTGGTAGAGTTTCACACTGATCCCGCAACAGACCAAGATACAAAGCCAGTCCTGCTGAAGCCTTTCTGCCCTCTCCTTTCCAATTTCAGCTCCATCAGGCTATTCACAACTTTGAGACCTCACCAGATATTATGAACTAGAGGGGCAAGCTCTTGGCGCTTCAGCCAGCTGCCCACGCTGGGGAAGCAAGTATCACTCGTTCCCATAAGATTGGCCCACACCAGTCCTCACTCAGGAGGTTAAAAAAGCACCATCTTACTGAGAAGACCTCAGGCTGGCTTGGCTGCGGCTGTTGCACATGTTGCTCCCCCGATGCCGGGCCGTGGTGTTGTCCTTGCCACTGGGGCCACATCCCCACACCTTCGGCTGCCCGCGTCTGGAACGGGGCAGGGGTCTGCGCTGTCTCCGTGGCTGCTTAACAGAGAACAAGTCAGCAAGCAATTCCTGGTGTAGGGCTGTGGTTTCTGTGATCCTTTAATGGGACTAGGAAGTGCACAACTCATTGTGTGGTGCCTACTGGTAACAGGTTAA